TTATTATTATTTCCAGTCCACATCTTTCTATAATTTCAGGTTTCTCCATTTCTCTGATTTCTGCATTTCAACCAGCCATTAGTACTAGTAGCAGTCCTTTCTAACTATGGTACTTAGCACCAATTACTGTTTATCACAGAATTACTCAACGTCTTCCCCCATTCTGCCTGCAGAAGTATAATGCTGATGTTTACCAGATAACCACCAGTTCTAATACATATAATTCTGATGGTTATTGGGTTACTGCTGAGCTCATCCTTACTACTCTGTTTCTTCATATGGCCCCATGCCCTGAGTCGTGTAATCATTTGATTTCACGTGACTCATTCCCCCTAAACCTGCATTCCTAAAACTTTGATTTAGTAGGTTTCATTTCCCTTTCCATGTTCAAACTGTATGTGTCCGTATAAAACGAAGAACTCCTCTTTCAGTAGGGGCACCAATGGGGATGAGGCTTTTTAATGGCTTTGGTCTGGTGATGCCGTCATCTCCAGATCGCGGTGAAAGCTCAACTTCCTTTCCTATAACTAGAAGAAAACTTTCTGATCCTGGAGATCTCACCAGGTTTGGACTGGAGTTTGAGTGAGAAGAGTTGCAAATTTGATTCTGGTATTGGTTTGGAGGGTGAGCCTTTGTTCAGAGGCTCCATGCTTCTTCATCCTTAGTTTATGCATCTGGTACTTTATTTTGCACCAAGCATAGTCTGTGTTAAGACACACGCACGAGCCTCTCAGGCCTGAGATCTCCACAGTCTGGACCTTGGATAAATCTTTGGGGGTAGGGCAACTGGTGTCCAGGATGAACTAAATGTGTGGTGTCCTTCTCTCTGCTTATTTTTTTCTCACAGACTGCTCCATCACCAAGTTCCTGAATCGCATCTTGGGCCTGGAGGTTGACAAACAGAATCTGCTGTTTCAGTACTTCAATGACACTTTTGACTACCTGATCGAGAGGGACAAGAAAGATGGCAAATACGACATGGGGATTCTGGGTAAGGAGCAGGCTCACACCAAGCTGGCGACATCCACACACTTGTATTCCTTGTAAGGGAGATTATGAAATGAATTACAAGCTTCTGGGAGTCCACAGTGTTCCATCTTTACCATAGAGGAGATCAGTTGTCTTACCAATTGTGGTAAGAAAGAATAATTTTCCATATATAGAAAGTATTGGGGATGGAGAAAGATACTGAAGAATACTCTTCTTGGGCCCTGTGTCAGAACTGGGAGTGGTCCTTGACCTTCTAGAGCAGTGTTTATCAACCTTGGCAACTTGAAGATGTATGGACCTCAAGTCCTAGAATTCCCCAGCCAGCATATTA